CAGGACATGCAAGTGACGGGGGTCGAGGACGACAGCCGCGCGCTGAACATCGTCATCCACAAGCCGGCCTCCAGCCCCCACTCCAAGCCCTTCCCCATCCTGCAGGCCACCTTCATCTTCTCCGACCACATCCGCTGCATCATCGCCAAGCAGCGCCTGGCCAAGGGCCGCATCCAAGCCCGGCGCATGAAGATGCAGAGGATAGCAGGTGAGGGCCCTCTTGGGGGCGACGGAGACCAGCGGACTTCTCTCTCTCCTGCTCTCCCCTAAATGTTGCACTCAGTCAGTAGGGTTGTCAAGTAATAATAATAATAATAATCTTTCAATTTATTAATCGCTCAATCCTGCAGAGCTTGCTAGCTCTGAGCGATTTACAGTTACTCATTCACGTGGGACTAATAATGATTTATGGGGGTAAGGGAGGACAACCTATATCTTTTAATCACACACATTCACAGTCGGCGAGGGTTTCTCCAGCTGCAGGGTCAGACGTGTTCCGTTGGCATTTTCACTTTGGCTTAGCTAGATGACGTCAGCTTCTCCAGGTCTTGCAGCGCCGCACTGCCACCGCCTGGCCGGAACGGCCCATTACAGGCTTCTCAGAGTCAAAGAGATTTTTTCTTAGGCTTTCAATCTTGCGAGCTGAGCATTCCGGTTGCCGGCTAACACCTCCCCCACCGGGAGTCACTTACTTTGGCACAGCGGGGGAGAGTTGGTCCCTGTCCGGGTCATTCGCTCCTGCCACGGTGACGTCACCCGGAAATGACGTCATCACGTTGGGCACGTCGCCGGCCGAGGCTCTAGCAGCCTGGAAACTCTGTGGTACCATAGAGTTTCCAGGCTGGTTGCTAGAGCGTTGGCCAGCGACATGCCCAACGTGATGATGTCACTTCCGGGTGACGTGATCGTGCCGGGCATGTTGGCCCAAACCGGGCACTTTGGGGGCGGGGTTCCCCCCGCCAGCCTGATCCGGACCGTCAGGTTGGGGGGCCCTTTGGGCGGGCAATCCCCCCCCCCAAGGGACGTGGCAGCCTATCAGTCAGCCAGTTGTTTGTTACCGTCGTAGACCAACAGTACAAAACATACAGGAAGAAATGTGTTTATAGGAAACGAATGCATCGAAATGATTTCAGGTGGATATCGGTGCTGGTCTGTAGTCGACCGGCCAGATTGGAGTCCAGCAGCACCTTAAGAGTCAAAGCTCCCTTCATCAGAACAAAGTTTGTGTCCAGTGGCACCGTTAAGACCAACAAAGTTTAATTCTGGGTCGAAGCTTTCGTGTGCATTCAGATAACTGAAGACGTGTGCATGCCCACAAAAGCTTAGACCCAGAATTAACCTTTGTTGGTCTTAAAGGTGTGCATGCCCATGAAAGCATATACCCTATCTCCCTTCATCAGTTATCTGACAGGGGTTCTTTGACTCTCTAAAACATATGCCCTGAAAATCTTGTCAGTCTTTAAAGTCATCCGTGATAAAAATGACGAAGAGTCAATACAGATAAGTTGCAAAACCATTTACTGAAGTAGTTCTATAAGGAATATCCTTCCGTCATCACTCACACGCTAACGGATACTGCGCAATGTGAACATTAGTTTCTCAATATATACTTTATCTGAGCATGTAGCAATCCCAGTTCTCATCAAATGCTACTTATCAACTCTTGCTGGCAACATTCCGTGTTGACCTTGGGTCCTGTTATTAGTCAACATGGAAAGTTTCTAGCAAGAGTTGATAAGTAGTATTTCATAAGAATTGGGATTGCTACACGCTCAGATAAAGTATATATTGAGAAACTAATGTTCACATTGAGCAGTATTCGCTAGCGTGTGAGCGATGACAGAAGGATATTCTTTACAGAACTACTTCAGTAAATGTTTTTGCTACTTATGTTTATTGAATCTTCGTTATTTTTATCACGGATGTTGTTTTTGGAGTTCCACCTCTTCCCGTGATCTCTGATTTTGGCTTCCAGTCTTTAAAGTCAGGCTGGAATCAGATCTTGCTCCCCTCGCGTCATGGCTTGTTTTCACACGGGAACAATCCATCCCGGCTCTCTTGCTCTGAAAAAGTTGCGGCAGTTGAATTGGAGGCCAGGCTCGTGAGGCCTATGATGTGGCGAACCCTCCGGGAAGAGTCAGAAATTGAAGCTGCGTGCCGTTGGCGCTTCGGGGCAGAATGCTGAAGCAGGGAGGGGCTTGGGCAGGGCAGGGCAACACGGGGTTCACGGTTGAGCAAGACTTGACCTGTCTCCCCTTGAACACAGCTCTCCTGGACCTCCCAGTCCAGCCTTCCACCGAAGTGATGGGTTTTGCACACAGCTCGACTGCTGCAGCGCAGCACCTGCCGTTCCGGTTTTACGACCAGGCGAGACGTGGCAGCTGCGACCCGGCCGTCCAGCGCTCCGTGTTTGCCTCCGTCGACAAGGTCCCAGGTAATTCCCGACCGACGCGTACTGCACGTTATCTCTCCGGTTCTCGAAGAAGAAATGGAAAGAATGTGCCTGTAGACCAGGAGTTCCCAACCTGTAGGAACCTCTGGGCACCTTTGGCATTCTGACACGGGGGGGGGGCGCAACCACAAAATGGCTGCCGCAGGAGGCGGAGCCAACCACAAAATGGCCACCGCAGGAGATGGAGCCAACCACAAAATGGCCGCCACAGGAGTTTGGTTATTCATAACTGTAATAGTAACTCTTGAACATTCTGGGCAGCAGGTCCAACAGGATGCCTTTTTAAATGAACATACTGTTTTAAAATATTTTCTTCAGTACACACAGCTTCCCATCGGTCACCCAGTAAAGACCTTTGTGCTGTGGTGGCGGCTGCTGCCGAAGCAACATTTTAAAAGATGTGCAAAGCACCTCCAGTGGCCAATTAGAACCCCTGCTGGACAACAGACCAAGAAAGGTGTCGGTGGGGGCCCTGGCGCCCACGAGCACCATGTTGGGGAACCCCCCCCCCCCACTGTAGACAGTACTGAACTTCCTTGGTGACTCTCTGGCTTTTTCCTGGTCATTTAATTAATTTGGATCTAGGATTTGGGGTGGGGATCAACTTGCAGCTGCTGAGAACTGTTCTTGCTCAACATTCCAGTGTGTGTTTATTTATTAGCGTTGTTTGTACTCCGACTCCCTCACAACGAAACAACAGTGCAGTAGGAACGGTTTCCATAGCGAGGCTAGGGTGTGCGCTTCGTTTCAAGTTAATCGCAGCGCAGCAGCCACTTCATTAGATGATGAGTTGCTTGTGGAAATACTTACACCCTGCCTTTTCTCGTAGCTCAGAGAGGCTTACAAATTCAAACTTGGAACGTACAGAATACAATAAAACTGTGAGCGACGCCTGCCCCCAAATGTTACGACCCTGTTACGGTGTGATTCTCAGGATAGTGTGGAAGTCAGTCTGATGTTTGTTCTTCTTTCTCTGTGTCATGGGTTATTTTAACCTCTTTCCCAAGATGCTGTTTGCAGGCTTCTGGGTGGGGGGGCACGGTGAAAGGGTGGGGCTGGGAGACATTTGGTATAATATGCCTTGGATCTTACTGAGTCCTGGACTTGGATGCTGAATTGTGTCCTGCTGCCGTTTGTCTTTGGAAAGTGCCATCGAATTGCAGACGACTCATGGCGGGCCCGTATGGTTTTCAAGGCATGAGACAAACAGAGGTGGTTTGCCCTTGCCTGCCTCTGCGTCATGACCCTGGACTTCCTTGGTGGTCTCCCATCCAAGTAGCAATCAGGGCCCGACCCTGCTCAGCTTCTGAATTCTGATGAGATGAAGCCATCCAGGTCGGGCAGAGGCAAACAGAGGTGGTTTTCCATTGCCTGCTTCTGCATAGCAAACATAGACTTCCTTGGTGGTCTTCCATCCAAATATTAACTTGACTGTCGAAATCATCACTCCCACCTGCCGGGTTTTTGTCAGAATGGTTGCTTAGGCTGGCAGAAGGGATTAACTTGCAGCAGTTGAGAACTGTTGTCTAAAGTGGTTGACAGCTTGCGATTTAAAGATCTATCAGCTTCTGAATTCTGATGAGATGAAGCCATCCAGGTCGGGCAGAGGCAAACAGAGGTGGTTTTCCATTGCCTGCTTCTGCATAGCAAACATAGACTTCCCTGGTGGTCTCCCATCCAAATATTAACCTCTAGGATCCCTTCTAGCTCTGTGTCAAGAAATTGGTCTCCTTTCAGAGAGTTTTTCTGCCCAAGCGTTAACTTTCTTGACTGTCGAAATCATCACTCCCACCTGCCGGGTTTTTGTCAGAATGGTTGCTTAGGCTGGCAGAAGGGATTAACTTGCAGCAGTTGAGAACTGTTGTCTAAAGTGGTTGACAGCTTGCAATTACAGATCTATCAGCTTCTGAATTCTGATGAGATGAAGCCATCCAAGTCGGGCAGAGGCAAACAGAGGTGGTTTTCCATTGCCTGCTTCTGCATAGCAAACATAGACTTCCTTGGTGGTCTCCCATCCAAATATTAACCTCTAGGATCCCTTCTGTGTCAAGAAATTGGTCTCCTTTCAGAGAGTCTTTCTGCCCAAGCGTTAGCTTTCTTGACTGCCGAAGTCCCACCGGCCGGCTTTTTGTCAGAATTGTTGCTTAGGCTGGCAGAAGGGATTAACTTGCAGCAGTTGAGAACTGTTGTCTAAAGTGGTTGTCAGCTTGCGATTTAGAGATCTATCCTGGTAACGGCTTTCTGTTGGCTAAATGATTCAGAACATCTACATAGAATAGACAGCTTGAGAAGACTCAGAGGGAGAAGAGACTGCCTCGAAGCTCTCTTCCACTTCTACCCTGCTGCTGTGCTTCTAGAGACTCTGCTGTCTACCAGAAAATTTATTTTCCCCCACCATTTCTCAGCCTGCTCTTGTCACACTCTTGGGGCTAAGATTTGCAGGAGCCTCTGTGCTTTGATTTTAAAAGGCTCGATTCCACAGTAGGTGAGCCACAGTAGGAGAGCCAGTTTGGTGTCGTGGTTAAGTGCGCGGACTCTAATCTGGGAGAACCGGGTTTGATTCCCCACTCCTCCACTTGCACCTGCTGGATGACCTTGGGCAAGCCATAGTTCTGATAAGAGCTGTCCTTGAAAAAGAGCAGTTTCTGTCAGAGCCGTCTCAGCCCCACCTCCCTCACAGGGTGTCCTTCTGTTGTGGGGAGGGGAAGGGAAAGGAGTTTTTAAGCCACTCTGAGACACCTTTGGGTAGCAAAGGGCGGTGTATAAATCCAATCTCTTCTTCTCTTCTTCATCTCTTCTTCTTCTTCTTAAGATAGCAGCATTGTCTAGGGTCCCATCAGAACCCTTGCGGCAAACATAATAACCTTGCTCTGGAGCCACATCCTGAGAGCCAGTTTGGTGTCGTGGTTAAGTGTGCGGATTCTAATCGGGGAGAACCGGGTTTGATTCCCCACTCCTCCACTTGCACCTGCTGATGTGACCTTGGGTCAGTCACAAGCTCTGGCACAGCTGTTCCTGAAAGAGCAGTTTGTGTCAGAGTTCTCTCAGCCCCACCGACCTCACAGGGTGTCTGTTGTGGGGAGGGGGAGGGAAAGGAGTTTGTAAGCCGCTCTGAGACTCCGAGTGAAGGGTGGGGTACAAATCCAATCTCTTCTTCTTCTTCCTGAGCTGAGACAAAAACGTGTGAGCCGTAGGCTAAAAGACTGTGAACTGGCTCACACTGACTCAGCTTAGAGGGAACACGGGTCCTAACCAGGGCTGACCCTGCTGAGCGCCCGGATCTGATGAGTAGCTAGCCGAGGCCTTCCAGGGCGGGACAGGAAAGGAGGAGAGGTGGTTTGGCCATTGCTTGCCTCTGCATAGCGACCCTGGACTCCCTCGGTGGTCTCCCAACCAAGGCCACCTCTGCATAGACTGGGCCGTCCAGGTTAGGGTTTGCATATAAAGAAGTATTCAGCTTCTCTGCTGATCTCTGTTGGTTCATTTCAGTTTGCATGCAAGAGGTCGCTCCCACGGGCTGAGTCAAGGGCCCCGTCCAGGAGAGGAAGAACTTATCTGTTTCAGTTGACACTTTCATAACCCCCTATAACAGAGGTGTCAAACTCATTTGTTACGAGGGCGGATCTGACATGAATGTCACATTGTTGGGCTGGGCCGCTGTGTACTTTAAAACGTAACGCTGGGTACCAGAGATAAACTTTACAAGGGACACGGGGAAACCCAACTAGCGATATTACTTTTTAACTCAAACTACAAGCCGAAACAGTTGATGCCTAGCAGTGAAAGCCAGTTGATTTACCCGGGGGGACCCACAAAAGCCCCAATAAATATATTTAATCATACCTAAGGTCAGGGGTCATTTCCTGCAGGAGTGCACAGGAGCGGAGCTCCGGCAGTAAAGATCCCAGAGGGCGGGCACATGCTTCAAGCCCCACCCCCTGCTCCCAGCAGCCCTCAGTCAGAGCAAGAAGCAGCCAGGTAAGCTGCAGAAACCCCCCCCCCCCCACGCCCCCCCCCTAAACCTCCAAGACAGTCCAGTGGCTCCTTTAAGACCAAGTTTCATTCAGGTACAAGCTCTCCCTCCTCTGCGAGGACAGATCTGCATGTTCCCCCCCCCAATAGCTAGCAATTCAGAACAGTCCAGTGGAGCCTGAGCAGTGGGTGTTGCCTTCTGACACACTTCCGGTGATGTCAGGGGGTGTGGCCTATGCAAATGAACTATGCTAATGAGCTCCTGCACCTCTTTTTCTATGAAATGACCCCTGCCTAAGATCAATGCTCCCTCTAAGCTGTGGAGTCTTGTGAGCAAAAAGTCTCCTTTGTGAGCTGCGGGCATTAAAGTTGTGAGCGAGCGATTTGGCCGCTGCATTAATCAGTTTGTTCTGGAGCCCTCCTTCCTGAGCGGAGACAAAAATGGGTGAGCTGGAGGCTAAAAAACGGTGAGGTAGCTCACACTAACTCAGCTTAGAGGGAACATTGCCTAAGATTAGGGTTTTTTTCCCCAAGAGATTGTCTAAAAGAGGGGAGTACCTTACATTCCCATCCATGCCAGTTTCTTGCGGGCCAGGTAAGAGCCTGAACAGGCCACTTCTGGCCTCCGGGCCTTATGTTTGACATCCCTGGCCTATAAGGCCTTTTGTTTGTGTGGATGGCAGAGGTGATTGACTAGAGCTGTAGATCCCTTGGTTCCCCTGCTACTTTGACAAACCTTTTCAAAATAAGGTCATAGAAGTGAATAAACATAAGTAAAATAAGGAAGGATATACCAGGGGCAGGGAGAGGAAGGTGGGGCTGGCATGGGTGTGTAGCTTTGTTTTGTTTCTCTCCTTTATTTACACCCTGCGTTTCTCCCCAGTGGAGACCCAGAGTGGCTTACGTCATTCCTCCGTTTTATCCTCACAGCAGCCCTGCAAGGTAGGCTGGGCCTGGGAGCCTGTGTCGCCTAGTGAGCTTCTGTGGCAGGATGAAGATTCGCACCCAGG